CTTCATGTCTCAAGCCAAATGAATAGTATTTTTCTACTGGGAGGTAGTAACTATTTACACTCAGCTCTCATTTAACCTTTACATTACATATACATTTGTCTATAAGCATAAAATAGAAGAGAAGCGCACGCTTACTTTAAATTAGGCAATTCATTTCTAAAAATTTTCTATTTCTCGGATATATGTGTTGGTGTTCTGACTTCTCTCACTTACCTTAAAGTACCAACAGAACAAGTTCACGAAACTCATGGCAAGGCCTGTCGCTGACAGAGCCTTGAGCAATACTGGTGACAGTACGACTCCGCTCATTTCCGCCTCCAACTTTGAAGGAGAGTACCCCCGGGGGGGAGACGGGTCTCAGAGTCTCTCACCCTTCTTTCCCTACCACCAATCTCTCGAGAGGACTTTCGGCTCGCAGCATACTAAGAGTGCCCCCATGAAGCACAGACATTATTCATTTACAAACATGCATGCCTTCTTCGGGATTCGAACACAGGCCCTTCGTTATTGTAATAGGCTCCCTAATCGCTATACTGTCTGGGCGACTCGGATATATGTACAAATCTCTGTTGGAAGTTAGAAAATGTATCAATGAAAATTTTTCATTCAGATGATATTCTGATAGTATCGTATTAAAAAAAGCGAAATACACTTTTAAATCATTATTGTGACTGCAATAATATTTCAGCAACGGTAATTTACTGTTTGATTTACCATTCATATATTGGTTATTCATCCATACTGTCCTCAAATTAAATTGGCCCACCAGCGGCCGAGCGGTCGAACTACCAGTGTTCGGTTACACTGGTAGTTCGAATCCCGCGAACGGGCTGGCTGCATGGGCGTTTTCGTGGTTTTCCCCATGTGTAACTTGTATAGGAGCCAGTTCCCTTAGAAAGTTCTCCACGAAGGCATCCCTTTCCTTAGGCAGATAGCCCTTGTGTGGCTTTGCCGTAATTGAATAATCCAATCCAATCCAATTCAATCCAAATCCTCAAATTAAGTAATCTAAATAGCATTCAGTGCGAATAGAACACCCAAATTATCTCCTTCCATACGTTAGAAGTCAATACATAGAAGCGATATGCACGTTTAGCCTTCATTTAGGTATCTGAAGTTAAGTTGATAATATGAAAATAAAATAAAACTTTGTCTGTTTAACTGCGTTAACCAGCCTTTTCAGTTCTCAACATGTATGACAAGGCGTTTCTTCAATCACATGCTTAGCCACTTATCTAAAGCTTAATACCTACTGGAAAAGAAGAGAAAAAGATAGAACTTGTCCAGATAGCACCATACTTGACGAAATAATACACCTTTTTCACGAATATTTATCTATTTATTTACTTTAGCGTCGTCTTTTAATGGAATGTCTTTGCTACGCGAGAAAGTTTTATCGCTGCTTTAAACTGAAATCACAGGAAATTTACAATAGAAAAGTGTATAAATGTTATCTGCCTCTGAAAAGATGCTAACTAGAGTACTTATTAAGGGAAACTAGACAGTATTAACGCTACCCACCGGGAAACCCATGAAAATACTCAAGCAGCCAGCTCTGGAAATCTTAATATACGACGAAACAATCAGTAATTGCTGGTCAAAGCAATTATTGATGAGCTACATGATAGTAACGAATTAGCAAATAACGTAAAATGAAGCATATCTCATGTATACGATCCCTGTATGCAAATGCTCATAGGTTTCCTTGGACAGCTATCCAATTAACAGTTTATGAGAAGGTGTATATAGAGACTTTCCAAATGCTCGGCACAAATTTTGTCATTATCTTAGCTGCATCAACCAGATGAATTCTATCAAATCAGATAACTGAACCAGATTTGTTAAATTACTATTTTGAGAATAAAAGTTGGTATATTATCATTCTAAAGATCAAAATTCGGATTTATTTTCATATAAGCTTTTTTATATTTTTAACTATTTAACAGCTTATTTGAGTCTTAATATTTTAGAACGGGAACAATTTTTAATGTGTGCCTGCAGCATGTTAAAAATGGAAAAAATAAATTAAATTAATTCGAAAAAATTTCCGTTAGAATGACCACGAAAGAATTACCTCAACATAGTAATTGCGACACCAAGAAAGAAAAGCATAACGTTACGCAAATGTGTGTCGAGGAGATTCTAAGTGTAGTTAAGATTTGTAATAACAACGTTTTTAAATGCCTCTTCTCGATCTACATCATGTGGGAGGGGATTCTCTAATACGAAAGCCTAGGCCAATGAATTTTTTTCCTGCCATCTAATTAAGTGCTGTGATTTGATAGCACGATACCGCATGTTTCTCCACTTCTTATCATCTGTTGCAAGGGGACAGAATCGTTCAACTCAGAGATGTTGGTTTATCGCTGCAGCAGACAGCTACGTGTTTAATCCGGAATGCCAGCAATGTTCAATATTGTCTATCCCAGTGATTGCAAGAATAACGACGAACTCGGATGACAGCAAGTTGTGGAAAGAGGTGAACTCCAGCTCGGACTGATATCTGGATTAGAAAAATGTCGCCAAGTGATCTTTAATCAAATGCAAGTGATTCGTTTACTTGATTATGACAAAGAACTCGAGAGCTATCTGTCTAAGGAAAGGGAAGAGATGTATTCGTGGAGGACTTTCGGTGCTACTTTGGTAGACGGTTACACGGATTTTTGGCGATTTACATTGGCGCAATTGTTGGCGCGGTTTTTACAGTCGTCAGCCATCTTGAAAAATGCTGTTTTTACGTATTTCACGCATAGTAAAATATTCGAAACTTTAAAAAAATAAATATCGTTAAAAATAATGGATTAATTTTTTGTTGAAAACGTTGTTTTTATTAAGATGGCTGGCAAATGTAAATAAATACATTTACTAAGAGTATAAAATGCTAAAGTAAGGTTAAATTATTACTTTCATATAATAGAATAAAAACATTGCGCCAACATTTAATTGGAATAAAATATTACTTAAATTGAATATTGAATTAAAAACATCATACCAACGTTTAAAAGAATTAAAATTTTTCAATTACTTAAATTCAAATCCTTTAAAATAAGGTTTATAGGATATAATTATTTAACATTAAAACATGTGGGATATGGCAATAAATATCTCAGGAATTTTTTTAAAAAAGTGTATTAAATTTTTAATAAAAATTGAAGTATACAATAATAAAGTAAAAGAAAAATATGTACTTACATTTTTTTAAGCATTTTACTATACGCATATTGATAAGTACCAGAAAAAAAAATCTTGATCTGTTATCCACATTTCTCGCACTTCATTGAAGCAATTAGCGAGGTTTCCTTCAAAAATTTTTAATAAATTTCCTCTGACCCTTGTCACAATTAATAAATCTTTGATTAGGAAATCCAGGTTGGCCAAAATAAGGTCTCAAACGGCAATTTTTTTTTTATGCCGATACCAATAATTCTTGATAATTACCAATAACAACATTCATCTTCGAAACGGAGACATCCATTCGCTTTGAAATCTGAGGAATTCGAAGAGATGAATAATAAAATTTTAAAATGGCGCAGTAATGCACAAATATTCAGTAACCAATCAGGGAGCTGATTACATCACAGCTAGAATTAAAATTATTTAAATAATCATTCATAATAAAATCATATTTAAAAAATGCAAAATTAAATTGTGTTTTAATATTTAACAGCCATAAATAATGTTTAAAACATTAGATTAAATTTATAGATATTAAAACCAATTACTTTTAAAATAATGTGACGTCATTCATTACATCATTCACAACATAAAATTCCATAAAATATCATAAACAATAAAATTTTTATTTCAAATAAAAATGCAAAATTAAATTCATTTTTATTATTTAGAAGTCCTAAATAATATTTAAAACACAGAATTTATGCATCATAAAACGCATTATTTTTTAAATAAAATGACAACAAAGTATCGGTTACCCTAAATAACGTGTCTAGCAATGGGTTTACCATAAGTTGTATGCTCGCCAAAAGATAAATCCAACTAGCCAGCCAAAGCCAGCCGACTAGAAAAGGATGTTTCATTGATTTCAAGGCCACCGCTCGCAAAAGATATCCTGGTGTACATCTAGGCAGCAATGGATGCTTTAGAATGAAGGACTATCCTCTTTTGAGATTAATCTTGCTTTTGTCTCGGAGGCAATAATGATCGGAGATTGGTCTGGAGAATACGTGACCAAAGTCTGAGACACAATATTATATCAGCCCTAATCTTGTAATGATGGTGTGAGACGATATAATATACGCTGAGAGGTCCCATTTAGTCTTCCATCTTAGTAAACTGACAGCTTATATCAATTTAATTATGGAAACAATGGCCATTCAAATAAGGCCGCATGTTGCTCGGGATGTTGTACTACCCTATGTGAACTTAATGTGCTTCTGTGGCTTGCTGCACTTTCAGACTTGTCCGTCGAGCATACGTGGGAAGTCATTGGTTGGTTACTGTAAAAGGAAATGCCAGCTGCCAATCTTAATGTTTTTTATGCTTAAGTGCTTATTAGCGTGACAAAACATTCCTCACAGAACGATTGATGACATCACTGATAGCATGCCAAGATGTGTAAGTGGGTGTATTTCCGTACATGACGTTAATATTCCATATTGAATAAATCGAGAAGATATGAATATTTTATCTCCAGTCTAATCATTGGCGTATGATAAATATGTCTGTCAATGTGAATTTCTAATTTCTTCTTGCAGTTGCAATTTCAATATTGAGCACTGTAATATCATCTAGTGTCACTCTCGCAGCTGGAAAAAAGATACGACCAGACCTTTGAAACTAGCTCTGAAAGTTTTACTTACATAACTCCAGTTCTTATAATTACTTTTGATCCTCTTTACAATTATAAGTCTAGCATTTTCTGAAAAATCTTAGTTATAAAGACAAAATTCAGCTCCTTCTCGAAAGAAAATAGTAATTGCTTTCACAATTCCAAATTTATCTTTAAGTTTTTCAAATGTATAAAATCGCATGTGTCATACCTTTAGGATGGCAAATGTTGTAAGCATGCTCCAGGCGCTGACTACCACACAAGAAAGTAGTTGAACTCCAAGAAGATAAAAACCACCACCTTTGAATAAACCACTCCTTCCTTGACTTAAATTGAGCAAACTATCGTTGTCAATGAAGAGTCCAACTGCAAGCATGCCCCATAAACCTCCCATAGCATGTACAGCCACGGCTCCAACTGGGTCATCAATGTGACATCTGTCCATAAAAGGAGGAACCATACTCACTAGTATGGCTCCGATGGCTCCAACCAGAAGAGATTCCCAAGCTCGGAGGAAGCCAGAACCAGCTGGAATAATGGAATACTAATTAAAATAACAAAATGGTTGAAAATTAAGTATTTCAATTTATACCTCAGCTTCTTCCTCAAATGATGCAGTAGAACATCATCCGTTTATAAATCCCTCTTCGTTTACACACTTTCTTATCTATCTGTACATCGCGCCCATAAAAGTCGTAAACAGTCTTTATTTTTGCAACCATTGGTTATAGATGTTTACTTCCAATCACAAAAATTCTTTAAATTACACAAATATTCATGTTTTAGTATTTTAAACAATCAATTTTGAAAAAACTGAAAAAGTCTAAAATTTTATACTTTACGCAGGCCCTATATTTATGTTTATGAAAATTTTGTAAACATAAGTACATGTTAAAAATACGAAGAAAATACAAAATGTGTGACTTCCGTACGATAGGAATTGGCTGACATATTTCGTTTTGAAGTTGCATATCACATATTGAGACTGTACGCAAACTGAATAGCAAAATGTTTGCTTCTCTACTTAATTGGAAATAAAATAACATTTTAGGTAACAGTTTCTGACGTTAATAATGTAATAAAAGAGTTTTACCATAAACAATTTTAACTTTTTTTTTTTTTTTTTTTTTTTTTTTTTTTTTGTCGAAAGAAATCTCTAAACACTTAACAAATGAGGTTCTGGAGAACAGCGAGGAAATATCGTACATGATAAATCTCTTTACATTTCATAGTTGATACTGAAAGGCAGCTATCATAAATAGAATGAGTGATAAGCATTTCTATGCAAATTTTATCATTAAAGTATTGATGAATATAAAATTTTTCCAAAAGGATCTTATTTGCAGTATTTTATAGAATTCGTGTTCTAGAAAATATTGGAAGGCATTTGGCCAACTCTAACGTCTGCAGAAATATTTTAAAGTAAAAATATTTCTAATTTAACTAATCTTTTGTGATATTAGACTATGATTTTAAAAGAATAAAAAACTTCATGAGAATATTAATAATTTGTTTTAATTTTGAAAACTTATAAATTACTTGCGTGAAAGTTATTTTGCCATACCAGATGTAACAAAATTATAAACTAAAAGAAGTTACACACTAGTAAATCATAAAAACCACTGATAGTCATTTAAAGGGTAAAATCAACTTCGAATTCTTCTAATTTGTTTATTAACTTTGCCTTGAGAAGTTCAAGGCAAGTGGAAATGACGTTAAATACCCTAAATTTTGAAATTAAATATGCCAGTCAATTTTTCCTGAACGAGAGTCAAATTTTTTGTTTCTTATTTTTTTTTAATGATGAATATAAACTCCTAAGTATAAGGACCGTATAAAACAGTTAAATTTAGTAATTTTTGTAAAACTAATTTTAAAAAAATATTTTTAAATGTCAAAACGTGCATATTTGCGTCGTTTCAAACATTTTTGTAACTGGAAGTATATGTTTAAAAGCAATGATTGAGAAAATAGAGTTAGGACTTTCGTAGTTACGTTGTATACATGAATGCATCGAAGTGTTTGCGTGTATAGAAATCGTTAGATGCATTTAAATTTAAACTGCTCTTTATATAATAACGAGTTTCTCGAATATATTTAAATATTAAAAATCATTGATCTTTTGTTTTATGTTATAAGAAATTTTAAACAGCAGACTTAAAAAACAGATTCAAAAATATCACGCAAATGTAATGGAAAAGTTTTACCATAAATAATTTTTAACTTGTTTCTATCGAAAGAAATCTCTAAACACTTAACAAATGAGGTTCTGGAGAACAGCGAGGAAATATCGTACTTGATAAATCTCTTCACATTTTTCGTAGTTGATATTGAGCGGTAGCTATGCTTATGAGTGGTATATGCTGTATGAGCGGTAGCTATCGCAAAAGCGATGCTTAATTCATAAAATGAGAAAAAAAAAAAAATTATACTTTCTCGTCACTGCAATAGAACCATTTTACTACAGCAGTTTTCTCTCAGAAGTAGCAATCATTATGTATGCATTCTTTTTTTAAGCTTTTCAAGTAGTCTAAAAAGGTTTATAAAATACAAAATGTATTGTAATTTGTTAAATATTAATAAAATGTTCTGCATCTTTTGTGTTGTTTACTTTTCTTAGATTTCTTTCAAGCTATTTTTTCAAACAAATTTTATTCATAGTTAATTTAATACAGGGGTAGTTTCAATAAGAACTAAGCTTAAAAATCTAGCGATTGTTCTTTGTTACAGTGAAACGGCGGTTCGTGAACTTAATTCATTCCTGAAGATAGTTCGTCACCTGATGAAATATTTGTAAAGAAAAATAATTTTCCTGATAGGAATTAATGTAAATGGATTAATCTGTTCCCGGATCCTAAATGATTGTTTACGATAGAATACTTTGTGCACGGCTTCGTAATACAAAATCAACGGAATTCATCTAATCTAACACATGTATACAATTCAGAAGACAAACAACAAAAATCAGCGTTAAACGCTGATTTTTGTTGTTTGTCTTCTGAATTAGCATTTATTCGGCGTGTTATTGTGTCTTAACATGTATACAATATTAAAACATACACAATATAAACATCATACTGAATACATAAAAAAATAAGAGAACTTAATTAAATTTTACCGTATCTGTACACAGTATCAGAAAACGGTGAAAAAGGGTAAAGCAGGAGAAATGTTTATGTTTGAAAGGTGAATGAATCTTTTGTCAAAAAAATATTAAATTACCTACTAATCTTTTTAAGTTTCTTCGTTTCCTTTTCTCTTAACATTGCTAGCGTCTACTTGAGAATCAATAGGTCTTTGTCCCCTAAAAATTTGTTCAATGAAAACATTTATGCGACGGCTTGCAACTACTTCGGCTTGCAATTACGGCAATAACATTCTTTGAAACATTGCACCTTACCCTATTTTGCAAAAATTTCGCGGATCAAATAACTAGGAACATCCTGCTTTCCTTCTTCCTGAGAAGACATTGCCTTCAACTGTCGCCTTTTGCTGCTGATTCTAAAGTGGTTCCAGTTCTTTTGTGCTGAGTTCATTTTTGTGATTTTCCATACTTTGGGTCAAGCTAATCTTGACAGCACGTACAACCATGGAGGTAAGAAAAGGACTTCCTTTCTTACTTCCTACCTCCATGCTTACAACCAAAAAATCTCTAAGGAGATTCTCCTTAGAGATTCTTTGCTTACAACGGCCGAATCACAGCTTTTGATCCAGTTCTTCAAGTTCTCTATACACAGTGGCCACTTGCGAATGTTTAATTTGTTCATTGTGCGTATTCATTTATCGATCGTTTACCGAACTTCGCATGTTTAATCTGCTGTAACCTTTTCTACTGAATTACGATGTAACTTCGAGTTGAAGCTGATATTTAATTCTGGGACAGGTTAAGTCTGGATCTTTTTGTATTCCGTAGGCTGCACAGCGAATCACTTAATATTCTTGAAATTCGATTCATTATTATTGATCAAGTCATAATATCAAAAGCTGAGCTGATACTTAAAATTAAATCAGAACAACAACATTCTTTGCAGTTTGGATTCAATGCTATTCATATCATATTCACTTGCTAAACAGGAAAATACCGATTTCTTCAGCTCTAAGTGTTTTATTGCAATAGAACGTTTTCAATTCTAGAATTTCATTGAAACAAGCAGAAAAATACCTGTGATTCGAAGCAAATAAAACACTTGTGATAAATTTCTAAAGCATATCTAGCAAACAATTTTTAGTAATCGATTTTGATTTATTTATTAACAATTATAGCTTTGAAAACTTTATAATTAAAATAAAAAAAATGCTAAAATTTACATATCAATTAAAATTAGTTAGATTCTGACATATCAAATAAAAAAATCCTATCAGGTTTTCGAATTTCAATGTTAAGAGACTTGTAGGGATTTATATTTATTTTAAATAACCAATTTAATTTAATTTTACGTTCTCTCCTATAAGCTCTCATTCCCCTAATTGTGAATGCCTGAATATTTACATTTGGTAGCGCGCGTGAAGTAATGCCAATTCTACCTTGAGGAGAAAAAGTTTAAATACCGAATTCTAGATGAAAAGTTAGAGAGTTTGGGCATTCGCCGTCACCTCTGTAGAATGAGCTTCTATTTCTGCAGTTATTGGTGGTTTATGTGGCATAACAGCTTTTACTTTGCTGCCACTAGTTTTCGACGCGGTTTGAAGTAACAGGAGTTTTCTGAGCCCCTGTAGAGAATTTCTACTATTTATTAATATCTTCGACTTTTCAGTTTAGTTCTTGTTATTTCATTACCGCCATAGTGAGGCGTAGTGTGTTAGCGTCACATCGACGCATTGTGATTTTTAGAGTTTAATAAAGGGTACTTTTAACCCTTCTCCTATGTAGTTCCTACACGCACATATTACATCTACAGTTGTCACTTAGAAGATAAGCAAGTGGTTCGTACAGACTAATTAGATTAACTATTTAAAAAATTTAAAAAATTTTACTGAAGTTTTATAAAAATGATTTAGTTAATATATGTAATGATTGTTAATTATTACTTCAAAATGTAATAATTATCAGCGACAACAAATCTCTAAATTTTGGTTATTTAAATCAATCTCTTATTGGAAGTTTTCTCTTTAAATCTAGGCTGCACTATTAATCATTATAAATGCGTAAATAAAGACATAAAATCGTCGGAAAAGATAAAGAACGAACGATAAAGGTTAACTTTGTAATTTGAAGTGAAATATATGGGTTGTTCTGAAAATAACTGCGGGCCCATTCTGTATAGGAAGATTTATACATCATAGCAAAGAAAACATTTGGTAATTAATCTCTGCGAAGACTCAAATTCAGAGAGAAGCAATAATATAAAAATAAAAATATATTACAAATGCATTTCTAAAATATAAAGTTTTTTTTTTTAATTTCGTGGTTAGATATTACATGTTAATTTATTATTTTCATTATTTGGAGAACCCGAGGCATCAATAAATACGGCTCCTTCTTCAATATAAGATTTAATGCATAAGAAATTTACAAAGAATATTCATAATGGTGTTTTTAAACACACATGCTGAACTTAAGGCAGACAGAAACTTCTTGCCAGTATGCAGGCAGGCCGGCGCCGACAATAGGTGCAAGGTCGTGCGGCGCGTGACGCCGCTGAGCCAAAAAGGCGTCGGGCAATCATTAAAACAAGCAAATCGTCTCGCTGCCCGTCTGAACGAGAAAATTCTTGTCTTATTTGAACGCCCCTGCGGGAGTCGACTCCAGTAAAACCTGGGAAACTATTAGGATCTGTACTTATGCAGTCTCGGTCACGAGTGTTTAAATTCAGTCTTCACGGGACTGAAGTCATCGCTGGCAAAGGCTGTTTTAGGGTCGGCAGGGACCGTATGGTACTGTTTTGTCCGTTGGTTGTGGTGAAGCTATATAGTCAGATATCCATGGTTGTCTGGGGTGAAACACCCCCATCGATGGAGTTGGCGAATTCAGCGAGCCTTTAAACTGCTTTGGGTTTCCAGTGGGCTCCTGGAGCCTCGAAACTGCATATTTATATCTTTCCTTAGCTTCTCCCTGGGGCGTAATGGCAGACCGCACATTGAGTTGAATAATGTTAAGCAAATTTCGCTTACTGCGCATGCTTGATGGTGTACCTTTGGCGCGGGGAGAAATATTGGCGACTAAGCAACCCTACGCTAGCTTATTCGTGATCACCATGGCTGTCGAGTGTGTCGAATGATGTTTACAACTGTAATGTTGTGGAACTTTGCTTATTAGTTATTTTAACGTCCATACCGATTGCACTTGCTTATTTTTCTAATATATATTTCATTGTAATTTGTCAATAACAGTGCATTTAATATTTGTTAATATATGTTCGTAATAATTCGTTATTTAAATGTAATTTGTTTACATGTTATAATTCAGTAATTGTAAACTGGAGTATCTCGCTTAGTTTGTTAGCGTATATTCGCGCTTTTCTTTTCTCATTTCAAAGAATTTAATAACTAGCATTAAGGAATTGTAAAATTTCTTCAGTGTTATTTGCAAGCACTTGTTATATTCCTCAGTGTTTCTTTATGTATGTACGAATGGAACGTATGGTAAATCCTGAATTTGTTTTATTGCTTAAAAAGTATAATGAATAAATTTTCAACTAATATATCCTAAATTTCAGTCTTTTTCTGAACGAAAATTTGTACAGTTCCAAAGGAATGTGCAGAATTTCATAGGTATTATATTTTACATTTTGAATGCAAACACTGCTTCACATTACTTCGCAATAATTTCAGCTTTCTAGTGTTTGAGCAGTACAGCAAAAAATAGTATTTTAACACAGTAATTAATTTACATTTACATTATACTCTACGAAGATTTAAACGCCAGATTTGTTTACAATCAGATGGCAGTACATCTACCATATACCGTATTTATCTTCTTTTCAAATCGCGCCAACACAGTAATTACGCCAAATTGTTTTCTGGGCATGCGCAGCATGCGACATTCGTTTAACACTGTTCAACTCAATGTGCGGTCTGCCATTACGCCTCCCTGGGGCGCCTAAAGCCGACATCTGTATACCATGACGTAGTGTTAGCAGGCCGGATTGGTGGCTCGGTCTGTCTGACGGTGTTTAAGTGACTTTGTTCTGCTGTCCGGGGTTGGGGCCCCTGTTCATAGTAGATGTTTTTACCATTCCTCCAGAACGGGGACGTTGAATGTAAGTTGCTGAGTATTCCTGTTGACTCAGCTTAGTCTTAGCTCCTCCGCTCGAACGATAGGTTAGCCAACGCCACCTAGACTACAAAGCCAGAAAGCTCCACTTATGAGTCATCCCAGTTAGGCTATCGAAATTACGGTAGCGCAACGACCATATAGTTTCGGAAAGAACTTACAATCTATTTTTTTACTGTTGACATGTTATTTTAATATATTTATAATTACTTTCCTCCTTTAAAGCACTTGCAATCTTGATTTTTAAATTTAAATCGAATTTTCTTTAAAATAAATACTAATCAGTTAAAGTTACATTTTCAGCACAGCAAATGTTAAACTATTTTTTTCTGAAAGGTGTTATAAATATTATCAAAATTATATTATATATTTTTCTCATATATTAAATATACCTTCACCTTATTTAAAATATTTTAAATAATGTCAGACTTAGAACTTTTATTTTGATAACACAATCTAATTTAAAAGCATTTTTAAAGAAAAAATCCATTTCACTGAAACAGCAACTAATTTTTTTTATTATTATTATTCACAAAAACAGAAATACAAACTACTACTCAGAATCACAAAACTAATAGAAGGATAAATACAGTTTGAAAAAAATAATGCATCATACAATTAGTTTTAAGCAAAGGATCTGATTTAATAAGCAAGATTAAAAATGTGGAATTAATTCAAAATTATTCGATTTGTGGGATTTTACACACATTTTCTACAGTGATCTCATAGGAAGTACAAAAACTGAAAAAACATTTAAATTGCAATTCAAAACATAAATTATAATTGATAAAAATAGCTCGTTTTGAAGAAATTTAAAAAAAATACAAGAAATAAAGTTTTTGGATTCATTTACAAGAGCTGGAGTAAAATATATCTATAAAGAGCTAATTATAATTTAAAAAATTATAATACAACATATATTGTCATGACGAGTAGAATGAATAGCATACATAGCATTTAGAGATTTGAACTGCTTCTGTGGTTATAAAAATTATTCATTTAATCAGAATTAAGTCGTAGCAATGTCTCTGTTCATAAAACTAATGGTTGAAAGTGAATTATATAAGTTATGACTTAAAAAATTTAGAATGGAAAAAAAAAATCTGTTTTGAAGAAGCTATTAGAAAATTGCAGACATGTCTTTAAAGCTCAGGAAGTTTACTACTAAACTTTTATATACTTGTGTTGCATTTTTAGAATTATTATTAAAACAAGTTAGATACTTTTTAAGACTAACTGTAAATTACTTTTTTATTTACTTTATCAAAGTTGATAATTTTCTTTTTTTACAAGCAGGTTTTTTTTTAAATCATTTTTTTGTTTACAATAGTTGTTTAACATCGTGTTTGTAGAGGATTTGATTATATTTTCAGCTATGGGATCAAAGGAATGGCCTTTTACACATGGTTCAATATCCAAATCCTCATTTGACATCAAAGCATTCAGAGTTAAATTTACAGCTAAATTTCTTTGAGCAGGGTGTTTTAAAAACTTACTTTCAAACTCTTGAGATACAAGTTTTTGTACTACTAATAAAATTATATAAAACAATATTTAAAACATGAGGCATAGGATACAAAAGGCCACCCCTATCTAATTTTCTGATTAAATTAAATTCGGAAGGGATATTGAGTTCCCTATCAATAACACAAGTCATTTTACAAAATTCACATGGATATTTTTTAAAGGTAGAATAAAGGCAATAACCAGCTATATAAGTTAATATGGGAACATATGGCTGAGCTTCTATCATGTCGTTTTCAGATACTACAAGAGAAAAAGTTTCCACAAGGGATAAATCAATGTTTTCCTCCTCACAATCATTCCTTTCATTTATTTCAATAGCAATATTTCCAAAAGTACTTGAATTAAGCTTTAAAGGTAATAAGCTTTGCATTCGTAATTTTGACTCAGATTCATAAACCTGTCTAATCGAAAAACAGTATTGCAAACCAGAAAGTTGGCGATACTTGCCAAAACGATCTTCTAACAAATCTGTTTGTATTTTAACCAGGTAAAAAATAATTCATGCCTAGCTCTTTAATGCAATACTTGCCCAATTCAATAAGTGCATATGTTGTGTTTCTCAGAGCATCATGAGTTTCTTTTGACAAGCAACCAGTAGTGCATTTTGCATCTTTCCATTTGTCCAACCAGTTTACAAAGTTATTTAAATACTCAACATTTGAGTCTACATTTGAAAATATCAGTGGTTCTTGAAAAGAACATTTCAGTCGTTTGCCTTTAAGAGGTGTTTTGGTATTTACTATACACCACCATTTATAAATTATATCTATATAATTAGCTGTTGATTCATAACTATCCAAATTGTGTTTATTACCTAGTTCTGTTAAGGCTGTGATTACCCAGTTATTAAACACTTGTAAAACTAATTTAACATTCTGCCTTTCAAGATTTGAAGGCCATAAAGCTTTAAGAGTTAAACCATACCCATATTTAATTAAACTATCAAATTCAAGATCATGTAGTTTTCTTATAGTATTAAATGAGGCTGCATTAAATTCTTCACTGCCAACAGCGTTAAATTTAGGAAAATACATAAACAAGCCATCATTTTTTTGGCCAATCCAATTGTTACGAATACATTTTAACAAATGAACAGGATCAATGACAAAGAAAAGGAGTCTGTGTAGTTCATATGGATTTTAGTACATAATTTTAATTTCATGCTTCTCACTAATGAAGGACATGGCTTTCCTGTTAATGCTATTATTATCACTAACCACACAAACTACCTTAAGACCTATCTTTTCAAGACCTACAATTACATCTCTTAAAATTTCAAACAATTTTTCTGCACTAAATGATTTTATTGGCAGGATGTGAGCAACATCTTTGTAAGATGATAATAAGCTTCTAATCATAAATGTATATGCTGAAGAAGCAGCAAATGCACTGTCATATGCAGAACCAACAATATTGCCAGCTTTAAAATCATAAAAAAGTTTTAGATGAATTTCATCCATCATTAATATTACATTGTGCTCACATTCTTTTACAGTTTTAAATTTTTGTTTAATATACCTTAAGAAATTAGAGTGCTGCTGCTCTTCAGAGACATTTAGATTAGAACATATGTTTCGTAGAGTAACAGTGTGAGGCATGATCAGATTTCCAGAATTTCGCATAAATTTATAGGCGTGGGGTGAAATCGAATTTAAAATACAGGCAAAAATTAAGAAATGGGGGAATATCTTAAACGTTGTTTGGAAGGCACAGCAAATTCAGTTGCTCTTTTAAAAATGTTAAAACACATTTTTATCATCTGAAACAATGGCATCCAGTTTATCTATAAATATATTAATAAAATTAATTATATTTACAATACTTTTTGGAGCTCCTGCTTCTAGAAGTTCAAGTGCATTTAAAATATTATCAATTTCATGAATACTTTTAACATGCATGGGTAACTTACTATCATTTAACACTTTTAGTTCTGCAGATTGGTGAAACGCTGATAACTGCATACTATTATTGATAGAAATACAGTATTTAAATACTGGAGAAGGACTTATTTCAAAAATTCCAATAACAATTGTATTTGATTTCATGACAACAGTAAATTTTTGAGTAAAATTGTTGTAATTCACTGAATGTTGTAAACACTGATTTTGAATCCTCAGATTTTTTTGACATAATGCTTTTGGAGATAGCCATTTGTAGTTGTCGGTTTTCACGGATTGTTTGTCGTTCTTTAACACTTTCTCTTATGGATACATCAGTGGATAAATATGATGGGGCACCAGGAAGTTTTGTTGGAACTGCATCTTTCCTTAGTCTCGGAATTTTTAATGGAGCTGATAATGTTTCACCAGTTTCTTCAAGATGCATATACGTCTCCTTTTCAATATCACAAGGGCTAAAATGAAGTTCACACACCTGTAAAAAAGTAATTTTCACTTAAGAATCTGTTATACATAAACATCATACAATTTACAAGATTGAAATCGGTTTAAAACCAATTCATAACTGTATTTTAAAACTTATAAAACTGAACTTACAGAATAATTTTCTTTTAATTTAGATGTTAATACTAATTCAATATCTGAATGTAACCTGTTATGCACAAAACAACCAGATACAATTACAGTTTTAAACCCAGAGAATCAGTTTTTTGCCCAAAGACAAATATTTTAGCAAAGAATTAAGGTGATAAAATATTTATGAATTCAAGAAATGAGTTTATAATGCATCACAATTTCTCCTTTCGGAAGAAAAAAGAACCTCACCAAAATGAGAATCGAAGTACATTATAACACAATTTGCAATGTTTGCATAAACAAAAATAAAATACGTAATTTCTCTGATAAGTTAAAAATTTTGTTATTTTACATCGTGCTTTGGCTACATATTATGATTTATACATCATGTAATACAACCAATAGTACGATACCCCTTTAGAAATACCTTAACGTTTTTAAAAATATGCAAGAAAATCGTGTACTATAAGAAATTTAAGCAAATAATGTGACAAAAGTAGTTATTACAGCAGCATATAATTTTACAAAAGAATAGCGTTATCTTTAGGTAAGTAAGTACTATTAAAAATATTAACATTAGTAATAATAAATATAAATTAACTTACCTTAGAATTTTTAGTTGGCTCGAAATTGTCTCGTTTTATTGAATAAATCCATTTCTTCTTCAATTCAGGATCTCTTGGGAAGGAAAATACGTGGACACGAGGTCCACCATTATAGTTTCCTTTACATAGGGGTACACAACATTTAAACACCATAGTGAAATAAAATAAGTGCCTTAAAACATAATACTACTATAAGAATAATTGACGAGGATTTTAAAACACGTGCAAGCGCAACGGTTATGCCACACACATCGACGAATTCACACCTGCAGCTTCGTTCAGTGCTAAGCCTAAGTGTGATGACTCATAGCTTCATTCTCACACCAGTATTCCGGCTTTGTAGTCTAGGTGGCGTTGGGTTAGCAGCCTCTTGGATCGCCTCTAGGGGTTGAGGCGTCTAACTGTGTTAAGGCAACGCCACCTAGACTAGAAAGCCGGAATACTGGTGTGAGAATGAAGCTATGAGTCATCACACTTAGGCTTAGCACTAACGAACACTGAACGAAGCTGCAGGTGTGAAGTCGTCGATGTGTGTGGCATAACCGTTGCGCTTGCACGTGTTTTAAAATCGTCGTCAATTATTCTTATAATAGTATTATGTTTTAAGGCACTTATATTATTTCACTATGGTGTTTAAATTTTGTGTACCCCTATGTAAAGAAAACTATAATGGTGGACCTCGTGTCCACGTATTTTCCTTCTCAGGAGATCCTGAATTGAAGAAGAAATGGATTTATTTATTCAATAAAACGAGACAATTTCGAGCCAACCAAAAATTCTAAGGTAAGTTAATTTATATTTTTATTACAAATGTTAATATTTTAATAGTACTTATTATTAAAGATAACGTATTCTTTTAATATTATATGCTGCTGTAATAACTACTTTTGTCACATTATTTGCTTAAATTTCTTATAGTACACGATTTTCTTGTATATTTTAAAAACCTTATTAAGGTTTTCTAAAGGGGTATCGTATATTGGTTGTATTACATGATGTATAAATCATAATATGTAGTCAAAGCACGATATAAAATAACAAAATTTTTAACTTATCAGAGAAATTACGTATTTTATTTTATTTTTGTCTATGCAAACATCGCAAGTTGTGTCATAAATGTACTTCGATTCTCAGTTTGGTGAGGTTCTTTTTTCTTTCGAAAGGAGAAATTGCGATGCATTATAAACTCATTTCTTGAATTCATAACTTTTTATTAATTCTTTGCTAAACATTTGTCTTTGGGGGAAAAAACTAGATTCTCTGGGTTTAAAACTGTAATTGTATTTGGTCGATTTGTGCATAAGGTTAAATTCAGATATTGAATTAGTATTAACATCCAAATTAAAAGAAAATTATTCTGAAAGTTCAGTTTCATATATTTTAAATATAGTTATGAATTGGTTTTAAACTAATTTCAATCTTGTAAATTGTACGTTTATGTATAACAGATTCTTAAGTGAAAATTAATTTTTTTTTACAGGTGTGTGAACTTCATTTTAGCCCTTGTGATATTGAAAAGTAGACGTATATGTATCTTGAAGAAACTGGTGAAACATTATCAGCTCCACTAAAAATCCCAAGACTAAGGAAAGATGCACTTCCAACAAAACTTCCTGGCGCTCCATCATATTTATCCACTGATGTATTCATAAGAGAAAGTGTTAAAGATCGACAAACAATCCATGAAAACCGACAATTACAAATGGCTATTTCCGAAAGTTTTATGTCAAAAAAATCTGAGGATTCAAAATCAGTGTTTACAACATTCAGTGAATAAAAAATTGTTTAAATTACAACAATTTTAATCAAAAATTCACTGTTGTCATGAGATCAAATACAACTGTTATTGAAATTTTTGAAGTAAGTCCTTCTGCAGTATTTAAATCAATAATAGTATGCAGTTATCAGCATTTCACCAATCTGCAGAACTAAAAGTGTTAATTGATAGTAAATTATCCATGCATGTTAAAAGTATTTGTGAAATTAATAATATTTTAAATGCAATTTAACTTCTAGAAGCAGGAAGCTCCAGAAAGTATTGCAAATATAATTAATTTTATTATATATTTAGATAAACTGGATGCCATTGTTTCAGATGATAATAAATGTATTTTAACATTTTAAAAAGAGCAACTGAATTTGCTGTGCCTTCCAAACAACGTTTAAGATATTCCCCCATTTCTTAATTTTTGCCTGTATTTTAAATTCGATTTCACCCCACGCCTATAAATTTATGCGAAATTCTGGAAATCTGATCATGCCTCACACTGTTACTCTACGAAACATATGTTCTAATCTAAATGTCTCTGAAGAGCAGCAGCACTCTAATTTCTTAAGGTATATTCAACAAAAATTTAAAACTGTAAAAGAATGTGAGCACAATGTAAATATTATGATGGATGAAATTATCTAAAATTTTTATGATTTTAAAGCTGGCAATATTGTTGGTTCTGCATATGACAGTGTATTTGCTGCTTCAGCATATACATTTGATTAGAAGCTTATTATCATCTTACAAAGATGTTGCTCACATCCTGCCAATAAAATCATTAGTGCAGAAAATTGTTTGAATTTTAAGAGATGTAATTGTAGGTCTTGAAAAGATAGTCTTAAGGTAGTTTGTGTGGTTAGTGATATAATAGCATTAACAGGAAAGCCATGTCCTTCATTAGTGAGAAGCATGAAATTAAAAATTATGTACTAAAATCCATATGAACTACACAGACTCCTTTTCTTGTCATTGATCCTGTTCATTTGTTAAAAATATATTCGCAAAGATTGGATTGGCCAAAAAAAGATGGCGTGTTTATGCATTTTCCTAAATTTAATGCTATTGGAAGTGAAGTATTTAATACAGCTTCATTTAATACACTAATGAAACGACATGATTTTGAATTGGATAGTTTAATTAAATATGGGTATGGTTTGACTCTTAAGCTGTATGGCCTTCAAATCTAGAAACGCAGGGTAATTACTAGGTAATCTCAGCCTTAACAAGGCTTAATCAGAACTAGGTAATAAATACAATTTAGATAGTTATGAATCAACAGATAATTATAGAGATATTATTTATAGATGTTGGTGTATAGTAAATACCAAAACACGTCTTAAAGGTAAACGACTGAAATGTTCTTTTCAAGAACCACTAACGTTTTCAAATGTAGACTCAAATGTTGAGTATTTAAATAACTTTGTAAACTGGTTGGACAAATGGAAAGGTGCAAAATGCACTACTAGTTGCTTGTCAAAAGAAACTCATGATGCTCTGAGAAAAACAACATATGCACTTATGAATTGGGCAAGTATTGCATTTAAAGAGCTAGGCATGAATTACACACGTTGTGAAAAAATTGCAACACCAGAAGGAATCGTCATAATGAATGCAATTTAATAACCGTTGAGTGGTAGTGGTACAAATAAATGATTAAATGTTCAAGCAAAAAACAAGAACAGAGATCAGAATCAGTATTTTGTGTGGCCACACGCGCCGCAATAAGTGCTGCTACCGACGTGGCATGAGTCAAACAAAGTTTGAATGTCTGACTGAGGAAGAGCATTCCATATCGTTGTACGCGTACCCAAAGTTCGTCGCAGACGCAACAGGAACGAGGATCACGAGCAAGAGCCGACCAATGACATCCCACACCTGTTCAATTGGCGACCATCCGGGAACCACCAGGCCAAGGCAGGAAGAAGCTGTACCTGCTGACGCTGCAAGAAGGATTAACAATCCGAGCAGTATGAGGGCGGGCATTGTCCTGTTGAACTACAGCGCCTGGCAGCTTGAAAAGGAACAGCTTCGGGCTGTAGAACTTCACGATATACCGGTGCTGTTCAGATTCCCACAATTCGTAGCAATTGAGATCGTCTATGATATGCTATGGCGCCCCAGACCATAACTCCGGGTGTTCGTCCACGTGGCGTTCGATAATGCACTCCGGAAGGTGGCGTTCACCGGCATAGCGTCTGACACGAAATGCGGCATCATGGTACCACAAATTAAGCGGGTTCGTCAGAAAAACACGACATGCTGCCAATCAGCACGCCAGTCTCTATGCTGATTGGCCATTGTAGCCGCAGGCGGCGATGGTCGTGCGTTATGGGATCCTGTATAAAGGAGTCCGTGCGCGCAGTTCCACACTGCAGCAGACGTCTACGATTGATGAAGCACACAATGAAACACCCTGTGCTATGACCACAGTGCTGCAATTGTCTAGAGGAAGCTGTACGGTCCGTCCGCGCCATGCGGACCAGGTGTCTATCATCGCGAGCTGACGTCACATTTCGGGTCCCACCGGATTTCCGAGTTGTCGACACTCGTCCCGTCCATTGTTCCAAACGCGCATCACTGTGCTGCTGTTACGCTGCACACGTGAGGCTACTGCACGATACGACAATCCAGCTTCACGAAGGCCGATGATTCCCTCTTCAAACTCTGTAAGTGTTCAAATCTCGCTCTCTTTTGTCGACGAGGCATAAGTACAGATTGAGTTAACGTTTACACTAGCAGATAACCACCGATAACAATAAACGCCTCGCTACAGCCGTCTATTTATTCGATCCATCAGCCGTTCAGAGGGCGCTGCTCAACACAAAATATAAAAGTTAATAGTAACTTCGAGCTTTTTAAAGACATGTCTGCAATTTTCTAATAGCTTCAAACAGATTTTTTTTTTCCATTCTAAATTTTTTTTAAGTCATAACTTATATAATTCACTTTCAACCATTAGTTTATGAACAGAGACATTGCTACGACTTAATTCTGATTAAATGAATAATTTTTATAACCAACAGAAGCAGTTCAAATCTCTAAATGCTATGTATGCTATTCATTCTACTCGTCATGACAATATATGTTGTTATTATAATTTTTTAAATTATAATTAGCTCTTTATAGATATATTTACTCCAGCTCTTGTAAATGAATCCAAAAACTTTATTTCTTGTTTTTTTTAAATTTCAAAACGAGCTATTTTTCATTATAATTTATGTTTTGAATTGCAATTTATGTTTTTCAGTTTTTGTACTTCCTATGAGATCACTGTAGAAAATGTGTGTAAAATCCCACAAATCGAATAATTTTGAAATTAATTCCACATTTTTAATCTTGCTTATTAAATGAGATCCTTTGCTTAAAACTAATTGTATGATGCATTATTTTTTTCAAACTGTATTCATCCTTCATTAGTTTTGATTCTGAGTAGTAGTTTGTATTCTGTTTTTGTGAATAATAATAAAAAAAAAATTAGTTGCTGTTTCAGTGAAATGGATTTTTTCTTTAAAAATGCTTTTAAATTAGATTGTGTTATCAAAATAAAAGTTCTAAGTCTGACATTATTAAAATATTTTAAA